ATTCAAAGTTTGAGGATCAATTAATATGAGTCATAATTTAGGGATGAAATTAAAGTGTTCAAGTGTTTAAGGTTAAGATTAATTTAGAATAAATGTTATAATTTGAACAATTAACTCATAAAAATACTAGAAGGGTCATAAGCATCCAAAAGAATAAAAAATTAAAGAGAAGATTTCGAATAGATTTTTAAGGGATCTAAGGGTGGGTCAAATTGAAAATAGTCACGTGGCGATAATGTGAGAGTAGTGATACTGATCATAGGAGAGGGGGAATGGGGGGAGGCACATGGGCGGCGTTTGATTTAGAAAACCATTTGAACAAATGAGTTTTTTCGTGGGTCCCATATCTTTATCTGGATACTTGACCCTTTAAATAATGTAGAACTCTAACCTCATTAAATTGTTTAGTGAAAAAGAATGGGGAAAGTGGGTGATGTTTTCGAACGCCAAACCCGTGGGTAATGTTTATATTTCTTTTTTTTTTTTTTTTTAATAAAGTTATAGGAGAGTAGGGGTAATTGGAAAAAACGGATAGGAACATTTATGACATTTAATGGAAGACGCGTCCCCAGGGATGCGCCTTCTACACGTGGCATCCGAGTCATCAGAATCTCACAAAAGCGCGTCCCCGGAGATGCGTCTTTGAGCCACGTCAGCCGAATGGATGCTACTTTGAAAAATATTAGTCAACGATGTTAAAAAGGAAATATTACAAACAAAAGGTGTCAGTTAAGTAAATTCGCCAAAATAAACACTAATAATTTCCTGTACTTTTTCTCTCTCCTCATTAAACGCATTCGCCCTCGCGTCGCCTCCCGCCACCCACTTTTTCTTCTCAATTATCTGTTTGTAAGTATCGGTACATCATCCTCTTGTTTTCCCTTTCTGTTTCAATGTTTTCCCCTCTTTTTCTAATGCACTTGCTGCTTTTCTTTCTGCATTGCCCTCCCTTAAACTCGTTTGTGTCGGATACCATCTTTTTGGTGATCATCATCTGACTTCGATATGTAGTTCCCCTTTTTTAATTATGTATGTGAAGCATTAGATTCTTCTCTGTCTGAATTTACCTTCGAGGTCCTTTTTTTTGGTAACTTTTTTAGAACAAACTTACTTTTGATTATTGTTGAGTCGATGATTGAAAGATGGGTCTTAAATATCCATCTTTTTTCCTGCATTTTTAGGCCTTAAGTAAGTAGTTAAGTTGAAATAATTTTTTTTGTTGCTGTTGTAAATTTGATTGCTAAGTCCTTGGGACCTTGATGATGAAATGTATTCATACCTAGAAATCATTTTATGCATTTTTTTCTGGGTCTTTTATTTTTAAGATGGGTTAGCTTCTTTTTACTTAATGAAATGTTTGTGCTTTGATTGACTGAAATCTGTTGTTAGCTTCTTTTGCTTTTCAAAATAAAGTGTCTGTTGATATTTTTTATATTTTGGTTTTGACTATTTAAGGATTTCTCTCCCAAGCTTGAACTGCTATATTTGTTTAAAGGGTTTAGTTTCCCTTGATTGTTTATAATGTAATGTTGTTTGCAGTTAATATAGGTTGTAGAAATTAGAGAACTATGGAAATTGTTACCAATAATGTCTCAGCGATTTTATTAATAATTTTCTTTACCTTCTTGTGTTGTAGATAATTGGTTGGCTTTTGAGGAGGAGGAAATAGGATTAGGACAATCTTTTTGCTGCAGATGGCGTCCGTGAGCATGGCGCCTGCATCTGGTTTAAGACAATCTAGTGCTGCTGGTGTCGACAAGTTACCCGAGGAGATGCATGACATGAAAATTAGAGAAGAAAAAGTGAGCATTACTTGGTTTGACTGTTTTTTACCATTACGGTTCCCTGCATTTTGTATTTTTTCCCCACTTTGATTATTTTTACACCACCACATTTGCAACTAATTTCATTAAACAAAAGAAGCTGTAACTCATTGATCATCTTAAATTTGTAGGAAATGGAAGCAACACTTGTGGATGGTAATGGAACAGAGACGGGGCATATAATTGTGACAACTATAGGTGGTAGAAATGATCAGCCAAAACAGGTATAATTTTTTCTCCTTGTGTGACAACTAATTTCATTGTTATGAGTGAGCCGGCACAAGTTTTTAGTCTTTTACCCAATTTTCTCCTAGTATAACACCTTCTGTTCAAAATTCCAGACTATAAGTTACATGGCTGAGCGTGTGGTTGGACATGGATCCTTCGGAGTTGTTTTCCAGGTAAAAGCGCTCTTGTTCATTCGTTTCTGCATGGTGGAAAAGAATTCTAATTTTCATTTGTATATTATTAACATATGTTCTTTTAAATTTAGGCAAAGTGCTTAGAGACTGGTGAAAGTGTTGCTATAAAGAAGGTTCTTCAAGACAAGAGATACAAGAATCGTGAGTTGCAAACAATGCGTCTTCTTGACCACCCAAATGTTGTAGCTTTGAAGCATTGTTTTTTTTCAACGACTGAAAAGGATGAACTTTATCTTAATTTGGTACTCGAGTATGTACCTGAAACTGTTCATCGTGTGATCAAGCACTATAACAAGTTGAACCAAAGGATGCCATTGATATACGTGAAACTTTACACATACCAGGTAAAGTGTTTGGTTTTTCAAAATTTGGTTCCTCGTGTTTTTCTAAATTGAAGCTTGGTTGAGATGCTAATAAAGGTTGATGCTTGCAGATATTTAGGGGACTGTCTTACATTCATCGCTGCATTGGCGTGTGTCATCGGGACATTAAACCTCAAAACATTTTGGTACGTTCAAATATCTGTTTCTTCTGGGCATGTCAAGTCTCTTTGTTATGTCTCATACCTGCTAATTCAGTGATCCTATGGATGTGCTTTTGTATCCTTTCTTCCTGCAGGTAAATCCACACACTCATCTGGTTAAACTATGTGATTTTGGAAGTGCAAAAGTCTTGGTAGGTTGGAATTTCTATTAACTTTTACTTATTTGTTGAAGTATAAATCTTTTATTTATGTTTAGGTCTTACACTTCTATACTTTTTCTTGGCAGGTGAAAGGGGAACCGAACATATCCTACATTTGCTCAAGGTATTATAGAGCACCTGAGCTAATTTTTGGGGCAACTGAGTATACTACAGCTATTGACATCTGGTCTGCTGGCTGTGTCCTTGCCGAGCTTTTACTTGGGCAGGTAGGAAGCTTGATCAAATGAGATTCATTATTGTTGTTGTTGCATTCAATTTTCCTTGGTGTGTTGTACTAAGGCTTTTTCACTTGTCAGCCTCTCTTTCCTGGTGAGAGTGGAGTAGACCAGCTTGTGGAGATTATTAAGGTATTTTGATTCTGAGTAATTTATTAGATAGTACATGCACATATATGTATACATAGACATGTATGCACATAAGCATATATCTGTACCACTTCAATTGTCTTTTCTTTGTTGATTACATTGACTGGATGGAATTTATTTTTTTGCTTGAAAATTGGCATATTTATCATTGTTCCTACTTGTGCTTTTCTTAACAATAACATTATTAAGTCCATGTGTTCATTGTGTTCTTTGTGAATGTGTCGCTTGTAGGTGTACTTGTGCTCTAAGATACTTTGGTTGTAGTTCTCTGTCATATATCATTATGGTATTATAATAGCATGTTCTTGTCATATCAAATGCCTAATAGACTATTTCTCTTTAACCGTTATGGCTAATCACTGTTTTCTATAGGTATTGGGAACTCCAACACGAGAGGAGATTAAGTGCATGAACCCTAACTATACAGAGTTCAAATTCCCTCAGATTAAGGCTCACCCATGGCACAAGGTATTAACAATCAGAAGAAAAAAAGGTTGTGCCAAAAATTTTTGTTTACAAGACCTTATGTATTTTTTTTGTTGGTTCTAGATATTCCATAGGCGTATGCCTCCTGAAGCTGTTGATTTGGTGTCAAGGTTTTTGCAATACTCTCCTAATCTCCGTTGCAATGCTGTGAGTTTATAAAATCTTCATATTAAAATATTATCACGCTTTATCTATTCTATTTTGTTCTTTCCCTTCAGGCTGCCCTGTGCATGACTTTGTAGTAAGGTCAAAGCTTGAGGTTCCTTCCCGATTAAAAGTGGGAATTGAAAAATCTCAGTAGAAAAAGAAGCTTATGGACTAGGTTAACGTTATTTTAAAATTCACTAACTATCTGGGTTGGTATTAATTATGGAAATGAAAAGGAGAAAGGTTAATGCGTTTCTCTGTCATGTTATTTTGGCATGGGGAGATGTTAGAATAGAAGGGCTAAAACATTGTGGCCTCCGACATATCTAGAAATCTTTGGTTTGTTTCACGCATCTCATGTGGTAAAACGGTATTGTGTTGCAGTTAGATGCCTTGATCCATCCTTTCTTTGACGAGCTGCGTGATCCAAACGTCCGCTTGCCTAATGGTCGTTTCCTTCCGCCATTATTTAACTTTAAACCTCATGGTAAGAACATTGTTGTTTATGGCAAGGGTTATTGAATGTAGGAATGCTGATTGCTTGTGTTGTTCTCCAGAACTGAAGGGTGTTCCAGAAGAGACTCTGGTGAAATTGATTCCGGAGCATGCAAGAAAGCAATGTCCAAGTCTTGGTTTGTAATTGAATGCAAAATGTAACAGAGCAGCTGCGAAAGTGTATTATCATCTTATGTACGCAATTTATTTTTCATGTATGTGTGTTATATGCAATAGCAGACATTTAGACAGTACTAATAATGTTAAAGCACATGGTTTGGGAATTAAGGTTTAGGGATTTAAAATTTATGAATTTTTTTTCGTACTTTTATGTAACTTAGATTTCAATTTGTTTGCATTGTAGCCCAAATGGTATTACTTGTTTTTTGATGCAACGAACGATGGAATGATTAAAGCAGAAATTATTTAAAAGTTCAATGATTAAATTGAAACAATGCAAAGTAAGAAGTTGAAATTTGCAATTTATACTTGTGAAACAATGTATATATATATATATGAACTTGCTAGATTGAAACAATGCTAAGTAAGAACAAGGAGAAGGCAAAGGCTTCTTTCTTCTTCTACAATTTGGCTTCTTTGTAGCATCGTCGGCAACCATTGGAGGACTGAGGAACATCCTAGTGTTATAATAGATTAAATAATAGCAGTAAATTGAACAAGTGATAGGAGAGAGAGAAAAGAAAAGGGGAAAAAATGCCGATAGGGAAGTACTACTGCGACTACTGCGATAAGCAGTTCCAAGACACCCCGGCCGCTCGAAAACGCCACCTGCAGGGCGTCCAACACCTCCGTGCCAAAGCCCAATGGTTCCAATCCCTCAACTCCCCCGGTACCTACTATCTCTCTCTCTCTCTCTCTCTCTCTCTCTCTCTCTCTCTCTCTCTCTCTCTCTTCCCTGCTTTCTATACCATTCAATTTGTGATTTCAGATCTCTATCAAAGTTCATCGCAACCCTTTTCAAGAGGCGTCTGCAATCGCTTCCTCAATACGGTAATTAACCATCCCTCTCTTCACGGATTTCGATTTTTTTTGTTACTTAATATCTAACTGCACTTGTTTCTAGGGATTTTGCCAGTACGGAGATAACTGCAAATATTTCCATCCCAACACCGATTCCCGAAGACCTATTCCTCAACCTGCACCAGGTCTTTGCATTCTCAATCCATATTTATTTATGCTATGAAATTAAGGATGTGTTGTAATGTGGTTGCGATTTTATAGGTGGTGGTGAGGGACCCGGTATGACAATGTCGTGGGGCAATCTGCCGCCATCCTTGCAGCCTCCTCCGGAGTCTGGTTATCCATCGCTTCCCTTTGTGGATTGGGGTTAAAACAACCGGTTGTCGGGTAAGTTAGGAATGCGAACTTGTAAAATTTTAATTTTAAGAGATTGAAAATATATTATCAATAGAAAAAAAATTAAATTAGTCAAGAATTTAAAAATTTTAGGAACAGCCACTCTGCTAACCTCCCTGGATCCATCCTTATAATTGTTCCTATGTTCAACTTCCCTCGGTCCATCCCTTTGAATGTTCCTGTGCTTTTTAGACGCCAATTTTTTCATATGCTGCTATGTCTTCTTCATTATTTAAGCTATAATGTCTTTATTATACGCTAATGGTAATGCATGTTAAATAAAACTATCACCCAGTTTCTGTTTCCTTTTCTCTCTTCTTTTGCATCTCATTGCCCTTCTTTCTTGTGATATCATTAGGTTCATCTTGTCACATCTCATTTAGTCATCAGTTAGAAAGACAATAAAGAGCTTAATTTAAACACAGTTAGATGCTATTAAACGAATGAAAGAATCGGACCTCGACATTAATTTTCAAGTATAAGAGGAATTCGTATTTGGAAAAACAAATGAAATGCATAAGATGTATCTGCTGAAATAAGATTTCTTTCCATTCGCATAAACTCATTGTCTGTTTAATAAATAAGCATGCATCCATCCCTAACAACATGATCCACAACAGTACAACAGTGTCGGTTCCAGAAATGAAGATGGGATGATACAGTATGTAACTAACAGAGAGAACTAAGTACCTCCAGCAAGGAGGCAGCGAATTTCATTTGGGTCTCCTCATCTATGGTCAAGAAGAGAGGGACATGGACAAAGAGGGATTTGACCCCATTCTGCTCCGCAAAGTGAAGGGAGTGATAGTACACATAATTACACACAAACCGTCCGGCATCATCCGACGTCATTATCTCGTATCCCTTCTTTGCTAATGCCTTTGTGATCTCCTCAACAGGGAGAGAGTCTGCAGAAAAGTAACAGAGGGAACTCTTTATAGATGGTGGAAAATACGAAAGACTATAGTATGAAAAAAAATGTATACTTTAGGGGCAACCGTACTACCTTTCGAACACGTGAAATTCCACCATCTGCGGCCACAATGGGTACTCTCTGCAAACAATATAAAAGTTGAACAAAAGGATGAAAGTTTGAGGGAAAGAGGTAGAGGAATGGCAAATTGCATATGCACCATGAAAGGGGCACTGGGATATCTAACCTGAGGTTTCCATCCCATCTCGTCAGGGCAACGGAAAGTAGCTTCATTTACAGCTTGATGCTCAATAGCAAATCTACATGCACCACTATTGACTCCAAAATGCACCTGAAGAAATATTGTCAGAATGGACAAGAAACATTAGGCCTGAATTTGTAAGGCAATAAGTTGATTGCATTGACGTCAAGTTATTAAGACAATGTCTGTTGGCAAACTCCCCTCGTAAACAATGCATCAAAATTGGGAATGTTAACAGTTATTGCAATAAAGCAGTTAGTTGAAAATGCCTCCTGCCTGGTTATCTAAAAGCCAAGAAGAATTATTTGATGATTCATTTCTGCATTGTGCTCAGAATAAGAGAATTCCAACACCATGACCGGGAAACATTTTTTTCTTTCCGGTTTTTCCTAATGCAACCAGGAAGTCGATATGCATGAGTGTAACTAAGCAATTATAACATAGTAGAAAGCGAAATCCGAGTAACTAACCCAAATAATTTTCTCAGAACATGAAGATTGAGAATCCTTTCCTGTTAAGGCAGATTGCAATGTCTGATACAGTGGAGTGAGAGCTCCTTGTCCAGCAGTCTCAAGGACACTACAACTGCCAAGAATAACGCCTTTCGGTAAACCTTTCTTTCTTGTATACTCCTTTAGATTACTAACAATGGTTTCGGTTGGGTTCTCTGAAACTCCATGAAATTTCTTAAAACCAGTCACATGGATGGTTACCGCTGCTGGCCCTTCGGAACCCATCAATCAACAATTCATATGATATCGACCAAGTCTTATCCCAAGAAAACCGATATAGTTATCTAAGTACCTGCACGAAGCACAAGTAAACCAACAAACTCTACGAGGAACTTACAAAACCAGATGAAGGCAGACTATTTGACCTCGTCCCGGTTTCAAAATCGAGATTATTCATGGTTAAGAATTTTACACTCCATATTTTTGTGCATACCCTATATAATTCTCAATAAGGAGTAGGCTCTAATTAGAAATTATCAGAAGAGGGTATTGGTAACAGGGAAATGAGAACCAGAGTTTTAGATTCAAGATGTTGAACCTATCAACTAGCCTTATAAACAGTGAATACATTGAGACAATGAGCTTCTGATGATTAATACATTTCTTTGATACTTCATAAAAGCTTCAAAATATATTTACGAAGACTTGCAGCAATTAGATAAAAGAAGAGAGAGACTATTCATAAATCTGCAGAAAGGAAGCAGCTGAGAGACAAAGTTGTAAGATAAAAATTAGGAGAGCTAAAGAACATAATGATCCGGTTTCCAAAACTATAAAATGAACAATCTAGAATCAGCTAATCGGATCTAAGACCAATCAAATTAAGAATCCAAGAAATAAACACAATCCGTGCCCAAAAAAAATCGAAGCCAAGATGGAAAATTGACCAAATACCCTAATTGACAAAGACATGAAAAGAAAACCCAGAAATATACCTGGAAAGCAAAGGCAAGAGGAAGAACAAGAATAAGATTAGATGCTTTGGGCACCTACAGTGTTTGACGGAAAGAAGGCAAGAGATGAAAGAGAAATGACTCAATGAGAAGTCAGTTCACAGCCAACCAGTCTTGTCTAACCAAAAGTTGATTAAATAAATACGAAAGATAATCTGATAAAGATACCCACAAAGAAGAAGAGAACAAATTGTAGTGGAATATGTATTTCATATTCGAACCGTCAGTTTCGTTGAAGAAACTGGCCTGGGACGTAAGTGGGGGGGTTGGGACACCGATGGACTTTGATATCAAATTTTGAGAGAAACTATGAAATTATAATGAATTATGGAGTAGATTTTAATTTGATTGTTAATATCTAAATTTTATTAATTAGATTATTTAATTATTTAAATGATATTTATTAAATTATATATTATTTTTTTATAAATGAGTTTATATAGTAATTAATAAAACTAATATATTTATATATTTAATTTTAATTATTTACAAAATTCATCAATCTACTCTTAGGGTTAGTTTGACATAATTTTTGAAAGTGACTTAAAAATGCGTAGAAACGAACTTTTAAAAATGTTATACAAAAGTATAGTATAAAATTTAATCGTTTGATATTATTACTAAAAATTGAGTTTAAAAAGATAAAATGTTCATTATAGACTATATGTTGTAAATTAAAATATAAAATTTAAATTATATTTACACTTGTATATGGATCATATCAATTTAAACTATAATAAAAATATAAAAAATGAAAATAAAAAATATAATTATAATTAAAATATTATTTATATAATTCATTATTAATATTTTAATATATAAATCATGAATTTTATTTATTTTTAAATAATTAAAATAAATTATTAAAATTATAAAAAATTTAAGGATGTTAGTATTAAATTATTAAAATAAAATGTAAATATATAATTGAGTGAAGCTTTTACATTAGTAATAATAAAATTATAATTTGCTTCCAAACACAAAGTTGAATAGCTTTTGCGGTTGGTTTAAAATTATCGTTTTCGACGCAATTTTTTTTCCATTTTTTACCCATTTGACATTGATTTTACGATCTAAACGAACTTTTTAGCTAGATATGTTTTTAGAAAGTATTACCAAACGGACCCTTAGTATTAATTTTATTTTAATTTTTTGGGAATGTTTTAATATTGATTGAATTAAACTAAAATCAAGATCAAATTAATAGAATGAATAAATAATGAGAACCAAATGTATAACTATATGAATTTTATTAATTATTATGTTATCTTCTTCATTAAATATTAATTGTATGTGATTTGATTAATATACTTAAATAGTTAAATGATATAATTGACAAAATTTAAAAATGAAGAATCGAATCAGAATCTTTCCATATATATATATATATATATGTACCTTAATTTTTTTAAAGAATCCATATATATATATATTGAATTTTTTTTATTAATTTAAAGTGCTTACAAGTGGTACTTTCTATTCTAAAGTCTCTCAACGGATAGGCTCGATCGATCACTCAAAAATCGTCAAGAGAAGGATGAATTGACTTTGATAGAGTTTGGTGAAAACTTAACGAAAAATAAAAACTTTTGGCACAAACCAATTTATAGTGGTTTGAGTTTCTCAACAAAGTCTACATCTACTACCTTAGCTTTTCACAACTAAGGATTTCAACAAATTCACTAATTTGTTATTACCTTAAGGATAAGGTGTATCCTTACAACTCTATCTTTTCAATGGCTAATATAGAACCATTCTAATTTTTCTAAGACTAAACTAAAACCACCCTTTTTACAAGGTTTATTTTGTATAAACAAGAAGACATCTCTAGGTATGTGTTTATAAAGATTAAGCTCACAAAGAATGAATTAAAATGCTATACAATAAGCTTAATATACTTATGTAGAAGAGAAAATAAATAAAATACAAATGAAAACTCGTTTATCTTGATTTCTAAGCTTGGATAAGTGTAGTAAACTTCTTCAAGTGTCTTTGGAGTATTTTTATTATGTGGAATTAGTTTATAACCGTTTATGACCATTGGGGATGAATTATAGCCATTGGGAGCTTTTAATTCCCCCAATTTTAGCTTTTCTGCACAATGATTTCGAAACTTAGAGAGTTTCGAAATCCTTTTGAAAAAATATGACTGTTGAAACAGGGGTTTTAAAAAGCAAACAAAAAAGCTTTAGAAATCAGACATGGTGGTTTAGAAACCAATTAAGGGTTTAGCATTCTACCTCCGAGATCTAGAAACCTTCATGGGGTTTCAAAAGATGCTCCAAATTTTGTAAAAATTTGTCATGTTTTGTGTTTCAAACATATTTTAAAGCATAAACTTGTTCAAAATTTGGAGCATGGTTTTTGAATCCAGGCAAGGGGATTTCCAAATCGGGCAGGAAATTTTAAAACTTTGAGCGTTCTGCCACATAGGTTTAGAAACCTTTATGGGGTTTCAAAACCATGCTCCAAATTTTGTAAATTTTGTGTGTCAAAAATATTTTAAAACATAATAGTGATCGAGTAAGTATTTAAAAACGTTTGACAAAGTTAGAAAAATTTAAAATATATTTTTCAAATTAATTTGGACTTTGAATTATTTTTTACTCATTTGAACAAGTTCAATTAAGTCCAAAAACATTTT